CGCCTCGAGTTCTTTCACTACCTTCTTATTTTCTTCCCATACTTCTCCGGGCGTACTCTAGCGGCGGTACGATTACGCTCTTCAAAACCGCCAATTTGATGCGTGTATCGAGGTGCCGGTTTGCGAGTATTGGGTGCAGCTTCCCTGCTCGTGCTTTGCCCTTTTCCGCTACCTTGGACATGTGTGCATTCCACGAGCAGCCGTTTGCGATCTCTACTCCGAGGTATGTGTACTGGTCCACTACTGCAATCTCCTCGACCCCCCACTTCCATCTATGTTCTACTGGTTCCTCCCTGTCCTCGTTGCATACCATGACGGCACTCTTCTTAACGTTGGCAGACAATCTCCATTTATCAGTAAACTTCTTCACCGCGTCAATTTGTAGTTGCAGTCCCCTCAGGGGTGTCCGACATACCAACAAAATCATCCGCGAACAGCATTCCTGACACCGAAGTTTCCGTGTCCCCTACTTTTACTCCCTTCCGGACTGCCTCTACGACTTCCAACAGATCGTTGATGAACACCTGGAACATTGTTGGAGAGCGTGCAACCTTGTGGGACCCCCTGCTCTATGTCGAAGAATTTAGACAGTTCTCCGTCTAGCATGACCGCGCTTTTCGTACACTCTGTCATCTTCTTCAGCACTCTCCACATTTTCCCCTTGATCCCGTACTTGGACAATTGTTTCCACAGCCCATTTCTCCATACGGTATCGTATGCCTTTTTCACGTCCAGGAAGAAGCAGTACGTCGGCTTTCCCGCCCTCTTTCTACCTTGGATGATTCTCCCTACCGTGAATGCGTGGTCTACGCACCCCCTCTTCTTCCGGAAACCTGCCTGGCCCTCACTAATGCTACGTTCCTTCTCCAATACTCCCACTATCCTATCGTTCAGGAGCTTACAAAACACTTTTCCTACTGTGTTCAACAGTGTGATACCCCTGTAGTTTCCTGGGTCAGTCTTGTCTCCTTTCTTAACTAAATTCACAACCACTCCTTCCCTCCATCTACTTGGCGCATACTCATTTTCCACACCCAGTTGTACAGCAGTACCATCAGCTGGATCATCCCCTTCCCCTCAAACTTCATGGACTCGTTGACTATCCCATCCGCCCCTGCTGCTTTGTGGCACTGCAGCTTGTTCACACACGCCTCAACCTCGTCCTCAGTGAACTCCTTTTCTAGTTCTACGTTCCCAACGTCTGCCTTCGATGTCTCTTCTTCTCTCTGGGCCCATGCGTCCACCTCCTGCTTAAACACTTCGTCAAAAGCTTCATTCTCCGAAGGTACTCCAACGTATCTTGTAGTGTCCTGCTGGAACTTCCCTTTTTCCCTTCCCACTGCTGACTACATATATCTTACGTGCAGCTCTGGGATCTGTGTGCTCCCCCTATCTACCAGGATGAAGTCGAGGATCGAGTATTCATTGCAAACTGCCCTTTGCCTGGTGAACTCCGGCTTATCGCATTCCTTCCTACCGTTCAACACCATCAGCTCGTTGCTTCCCAAGAATTCAAGCATCCTCACTCCGTCGTCGTTCACTTTGTCCTCCCCGTGCTGCCCGATCGCCTGTCCTCTACTGGAAGCGTTCCCTGCTCTGGAGTTGAAATCGCCCACCATGACTCGTGGGGCGGGGGGGGGAAGACAAGGATGTTTTCGTATGGCTGGTGCTCCGTGTACACAAACGACAACGGCTACATGCTGTACCGCCCACGAAGTGCCCCAGCCCATCCCTGAGCAGATGTATTGCCGGCCCTTGTCACACGGTGGTTCTTGGGAGCTTTATGCATAGTTTCTGCGGCCTTCACGCATTAGACTGAAAAACCGTCGTGGAGCGTGTCGCTGGTGTTGCGGCAACTAAGCATTCAAGTTGAGAATCCCCGTGGGGGTAATGTATGTGCGGTGAAGTCCCGAATTTGGTTCATTTCGGTTCGATGTGGCGGTTCGGTGAGGCACCGAGACCTACCAATAAGTCATCGAAGGAGAGACGCGTTTGTTTCTAAATGCTGGGGTATACAAAGTGGGGGTCAAAAACGAAAAATCGAAAAACCGAACATAGGTCTGAGAAGTTACCAGCTGGAGTTTACCCGTCCGACACAATTCTAGGGTGGCCACACCTGAACTACAGTAGATTACGTTCTCACAAGGTGGTTGATGTACCGAGCACACGGTCTCCGCTACGAAACAGTTTACATAATATATGTGTGACATGAAACTAACAGCAAAATAATTAGTGGAAGGGAACCTGGTACATGTAGTCTACTTGTCCAGATGTCATGGGAATCTGGACACATGCTACATACATAGATACAAAGCTATATCGATACCATGCACATGTTTTTGTTGTTGTTGCTGTGTCTTCACATTAAAAACCGTGCCAGTCTCCCCTCAGTACCTCCTAATATCCGTACTGGTCCTCCAACTAATGCACACGGGGATCAGGTGTATGCTGGACAAAAGCGTACAAAGGAAAATATTGTCGCAGATGAGGATCGATCACGGAAAGTTGGTCGCTAGCCAACCGCAAGCGACGTCATTCTACTTCTGCTGTCTCTCATCTCGCGGTTTCTGCACGCTCGCGGGCGCGGAGCGTGGTGGCCTGCACCACACTCTCACCTCTCCGTGAGTCGTCGACGCCGAAAATGACTCATGTTTCCTCCCTCGTTGGAAGGAGACCCAGGTTGTGGGGGTCTCTACCACTATCGCCGGGGGCTGGCGGCTTTGTTTCTTGAGATTTAACAAGAGAGAGAGAGAGAGGGTGACACCCAAGGGGGAGGGTAGGGGGTATTGTAGGGGATTCTCGAAGACCTCCGAACGTTCCCAATCTCCGCAGGTCAGGTGGCTTTGGAACGGCCGTATCACATAGTAGACGATCAGCAAGATACGCCACCAATTTGGTTTTACAAATTCTACACCTACCTGTCTTCCACGTTCCCACTCATATTTTGCAATAGAAGGTCGGATCATCAGCAAGATATTTCACTTGTACATACTGAATGTATGTATTTCGTGGTAATATCTGGCCCTGGGTGAATGACCTGACAGAAACGTGCGATTCCTACTGCAGCTGTGTGTTGTGGCAGAGACGACGCATACCACCCTTCCTTACAGATTTCGAGCATGTTGTTAGGTTGCTTGTCTGGACGACGCGTGAGGCACGAGATAAGGAAGGGATGGTCAAGCGCGGGCGAGTGTGCACACTTTACGGCGTTGCGCGTTGTATGTGCGCCAATGGTTCCACACCACCTTTACTTTGTCTGTGTCCTCCACATGTTCACTCAATTTTCGGGAAATACGAAATAAGTCGCGGATCAGCAGCAAGACACTTAATTCCTCCCCTCATATCATGTCTGCGATGTGTTTGTTTTAACTATTCGGTGGGGTGGACTACTAGCTGATGTGCCTAATCAGCCTGAGCGGCGAGAACCCGACTCCGAAGACCCCGCCGGCAGTACTGTGTACTCTATTGGGGCACCAAGACTGAACCACGGGAGTTTATTCTTATCTCACATAGCGTGGAGATGGGAAGGAGATGAGGGCCCGAGACTAGTATCTGTCGGGGTCTGTTATACTTGAATTACCTTTCTTAGGATATATTATCCTGCGACCACAAGGGGAATCGACTGCGTTAAGTGGTAGGTGAGCACGGACAGGTAAGGCTGGGCAGAGATCGGGACTTTTTTTTCAATATGAAAACAACGACAACAAAAAACAACCAACAATTCGTTGTTTTCTGGCCCTAGATGAACGACCTCCCAGCGGCGTCCGATTCCTACTGTCGGTAATGCTTTATCTCCAACGACGCGTGAGGCACGAGACAGGGAAGGGATGGTCAAGCGCGGGTGGGTGTGTACACCTGCCGGCGCAGCGGGCTGTCGGTCTCTGCGCTTCTGTCGGTTGAGACGGCACTGACTGGCGATCCCACCAAAAGAGCAGTCAAGAAGGAAGCATCGAAGAACTGGAGGTCTGTCTGAGAGACCACTTCGAGGATACTTAGGGTTAGGATGGAATCACAGGAGTTCGGCCGCCATGACGGTTACCTTGTACCAAGGCGTGAGGAAATAGTTTTTTGAGTGGGCACCCCGGAAGTGACGGTGGCATCACGCTGATGACATGTAATGCGTCGGCATATCGCATTCTTGCTCGTTCTCTCTCTTGATCTTAATTGTGTACGGCTCACGCAGGTCGTACACGAGATACCCGCTTTGTAAGCAACGTTCGCGTTCTCGTGAACGGTTGACTGCCCTTTTGAGGTGCCAACGCACTTCACAGCCAAATCCCGACAGCATATCGCGGTGCCCCGAGACTTGAACTACGGTATCTCGTATCTGGGGTCACGCGCAAGGGAGATTTACCCTCCCGGGACTTCCGAACCTGTCCAACCGTATAACAAGCAGAATTCCGAAGGGTGACATACTGACACCACACTATATTTTCCCCCGAGGTTCCAAAGCAAAGATACCCTGTACCAACCAACTATTTTCTACTCTCTGCCGTAGTGCTGTACGGGACTTCCTGCACGAACGAACAAAACTTGTTTCAAGTTCACAGCACGTTGTGTGCAACACCCAAAAAGGTGTTCAAAAGCACACCATTCTTGTAAACTACATCCACCCGTGCACGATCATACCACCACATCGACCACAGACAGCAGCTTTGCCTTGTGAACGGCAATCCCTACCATAATTTTCAATGCTCATCGTAACCTCTACGCACCCTTTGTACACCACAACGGCGCGCTAATGTTCATGGGCCCTGCTGGTGGTTGTAAGCCCAGACCCTGGTTGACGTTGATCATGGCCACATCACGGGGTATCTATCTGACAGCTAGTCGAGGTACGGACTACGTATGCATAAATTCTACACATCCAACGGTGTCACCGATACATAAACAACGTCGCCCACACCTCATACGTCTCTCATGGGGGGGGGGATCATGTACCCAGTCGTGGTCTGACTACGACGACAACGCTTCGAAGGCTTCGACAAACGCCGCCGGCGGCTGCCCCCCGGACAGCGGAACGGTTGCCTTGCTACCCTCGCGCGACACGATGAAGTACGGGACCCCCGAGATACCGTGGTTGTGGACACCGTGTTTATACTCGCTGATGACTGCTTGCTGTCCTTCCTTGCCCTCAAGGTAATCTTTCGTGCATTCAACTCCAGCCTGTGCATATTTAAGTACAAGCGGCGATTGGGAACAAAACACATGGCGCGGGATCAGGCACAGGGAGGGAGGAGTGGTAAGGCGCGAAGAGGCGCGGTGTGGTCTTTGGGCGTTTTCGGGTGACAAGTGGAGAGTTGGCAGGAGCGAGGGAATCCCGTGACACCCCTTTCTCGAGCAGGAAGGGGGGGGGAGGGGCGACTTCATCATCACAACTGTTCAACACCGGCATAAACCTATCCTACAGAATTGGTATATTATTTCACGGTTGGCATGTACGTGTGAAAGCTCTTACGTCTAACAGGCAACATCGATCAGCGTTCATAGTCCATTGAGCAGAACGAGCAGAAACATTGGTGATGGGGTGTGTGGCAACGGCAAGGGGCCGGGTCTGTCCCCGCCTACTGCTCGGCTTCTACTATAGTACACACCTTCTCCGCCAACTCCAAAAGCACGTCCACGTCCGCGATATTCCTTCCCTGCTCGAAGTAGGCGTGGAACAGCTGATCGATCATCTCGCCTCCCTTGCCCTGGCCATCCGCGAATCGAACAAGACGGTGCGAGCGGATGGTGTTGTGCACCTTCCTGTCGTTGTCGAAACGGATGCCGGTAGCCTCCCCTGCCATCGCCAGCGACGCCGCCATTCGCGACCCTGCCCCTTTGCCGTATTTCTTTTCCAAGTACTCCTGGGAAACAGGGGTGTGTTGTGCATCAAAAAATTAACGACGATACTCATACCACCAGCTCCTTGCCTTAGCGGGTCGATCGTCCATGGGCGCGAAGATAAGCAAGCATCGACGGGGGTGATCGTACGATCGGCAGGACAACCAGCGGGAAGGTGGTCAAGAATGTGAGAACGAATCTACAGCAAGGCCCCCGCTCCGGCGCGTTCTCCACGATCGGCGTGTCTTGTCGATCGATGCGAATGGAATGCCTCACCACCAACGACAAGATGGAGCAGCCCCGGAACCATCCAAGAAACGTTACTTCGATCAATCCTTAGCATGCGGGGGTGGTCTGGTGGGAATGAAACGTGTAAACAGCAGCAGTGCATTTCAAAGCACAGGACTCACCGTTATGGGCAACTCCGATGTCTCTGGGGCCTCGATGTTGAGAAAGAATGGCTTCCACCGCACGTCGAAGACGGGGGGGCTTTGGGTGGACGGTTCCCTCGCAGCGAATTGCTTCATCGCGCTCTCGAGGTTCCTCTTGCCGACGAAGCACCACGGGCAGACATTGTCGCTGAATATCTGAAGAGTCAGAGTTAGGACACGGGGGTTTGGAGGTTGACATGATCGCATGTTACACGAGTAACGGAGGTCCCCGAAATATGCGGGGTCGCGAGTTGTATGTAGTGCAGCTATATTCTCTTGGGGATGGGATTCGGTGAGCCTAAGAAACTGCTGTAGACCGCAACACGCGCGGTCGACAACAAAGTGGGAGAGCAAACTGATTCAATAATGTGCGATGTTGTGCCAGCATGTTGTGTAATGAAAGCTGGGGTTTGCATTGAATTTGCCAAGGGTAGACTCTCCTAGGAACGCTCACAGCTCCAAATGTTCCGAATAGTTGCTTTGTGAGAAGATATGCTCTCATGATATCCTACGCATACGATCCTCCAAAGCATCACGCGGGGGGAAAATAACGAACTCTCCCGCAGTTTGTGCCAGCATGTTGAAATGAAACTTTTCTTGAAGCTGGGGTGTCCATTGAATTTGCGCAGGGTAGACTCTCCTAGGAATGCCCACAGCTCTGGATGTTCCAAATAGTTGTTTTAGATATATCTACCGATCCTACGCATACGATCCTCCAAAACATCACGCGGGAAGAAAATAGGGAAATCTCCCGCAGTTTGTGCCAGTACGTATGTTGTAATGAAACCTTTCTTGAAGCTGTGGTGTCCATTGAATTTGCACGGGTTAGACTCTCCTAGCCCACAGCTCTAAATGTTCCAAATAGTTACTGGTGAGAAGAGATAATATCTCACGATCCTACGCTTAAGATTCCCAAAACATGACGCGGGGGGAAAATAGGGAAATCTTCCGCAGCGTCTGCACCGTCTTAAGTCCAGTCTATTTGTAGGCCGCACCACGCCGTGCCTTACTGCCGTAGCGACTCTCCATTCCTCCACGTGACCAGACACAAAAGGCTGAGGCGGTGTCGTTGTAGATTAATGGGCACCAAACAACGGGGCACTGCATCCGCCAGGGAGCAACACGCCTTGGACACCGTCACGCTCAGGACAGTTGCTACTGTGCAGCACTCACGCCCCATCTTCCTGCCTACAGCCGTGCATAAGCGTACCTTGATGTTGAATTTCGCCATGAGGCTCGCTAAAATTGCGTAGTGCTTCTTCAGTGCTGCCAGCCACCGAGTGTTTGTGAGCGAGTTGTGCGGTTGTGTGGCGAGAGGCGAGAGGTCAGAGGTGGGGCGTTGGGCGTTGCGGCGGAATACGGGTGCAACGCACCGCAATTCCTATGATCTA